CGTATGTAAAAATTGAGTGTTTTACAGGAGAGTATTAAAAACTAATTATTTCTTTATGACTTATAAGTATAAGTTTATATTTTATTGCCCGCTGCTATTTTTCATAGTAGTAGACTACTTATATCAATTACAGACGACATAATGGCAATAATAGAATAAAAATTGAAAACTTTTACATACGATCTTTGCACTAACAGTAGTGATATATGCTTAATAGGTATGTTTTCACTCGTAAACTGGATGAAACAAAAAATCCATAGGAAAAATTCAACTTTTTGTTTGTTCGGAATTAACGAGACCAATACTTTTCTTCAGTCAGAATAAAACAAATTAAGCTGGAATATAAAAATAGGAGTGAATTTGACACAATTTTAAGGATATTTAAGGAGAAAATTGAGACCACGACGAGCTATAGTTTCCAAACTATAGGCATATCATATAACACATTTCCAGATCTGAAAGCGAAATTTTTTTTTTTTTTTAGTATTAGACAGAGTTTGATAAAATTTATGCCTATTTCATTTTACGTTTACCAATACCTAAATTCCATCCAAATTGGAGACATCGAACTTGCTGTTTTAGAGATATAGACGTATCAAGGAAAACAAGTTTGCGAATATATAAGAGAAAATAATGGACAGAATTCAATCAAATTTATTCTACACTATATCTTCATAAATACCTACCTTTTGTCCAACTTTGAGCCAAATCAACCGAGCCGTTTCTGAAATACTGGCATATCGACAAAAATTTGTTTGCGCGTGCGTAAGCGGAAGTGCTGGTTAGAATTCAATAAAATTGATATGAGACCATCTAGACACAAACTCGCACAATTCCTGAAAATTTCATGAAAATCGGTAGTAGGTGATATGCCTGTTACATCGATTTGACTACACAGACAGACAGACACCGAACCAAATTTGATCCTTGATGTCTGAAACGTAAAACTGAGTGAAAATTTTCGATTCTAAGCACAACATTTTTTTAAAAGTCTCGCACGTATACAATGCTTCCCTACCTTCGATAGTGAGGAAGCAAAAAGATGATTAAGAGTGTCTCCTCCTCGTTTTCTTCTGCATTATCTCCATTATTTATATTATTAGATGAAGCTAAGTATAACTAGTCCTGCAAGTGGACTCATCGTGGTCCTTTTTGTCAACCATTAACGTTCACCTTGAAGTTGCCATCAAGTTTGTTCTAGGAAATCTTTCAGACGTGTTCCATTATCTGTTGAGTTGTTTTGTTTATTTTCCGAATCTGCTCTTTCAGGAGCATTTCGCACTTCGGACATTTATAACCTAAGCTTATTTAAATAACTATTTTGTTTATTTTTCTGTTGCTTTGTTTTATTATATATGTACAGTTTTTCTTCTTTTTTGTACTTTTATTTTTAATAACCTATTATTATTTGAATATTTAATTTAATATATGGTCATAGCTATTTCCCTTTCTGGATATACCTCTCTATAACCTGCTTAAAGTGAAGATAGTCCTAATGTGCAACTTCAGTATCAATTGAAAATAAAGTTTTCAGTATAATAAACCTGGTTTACTTCGTCCAGACCTTCTTACTTGCCAATTGCTTTGAACAAAACTTTCTTGCTGATAAATTGGTCTTCACCATAATAAACCTGCATCATCCCCTTAATATCATCCAAACTGCTCCAGCATTTGACCCCTTTTTACCTCATTCTTAAAGGAATTTTCCAATTTTTGGGTTCCATTTCGCGTTTTCCCTCATTTTGAGATCAAATACTAACAATCAGTTCAGGTTACCTAGAAGAACTTATAGCTTCACCGTTTCCATCTTTCTGGTGTGCAGATAGAATAATGTATTTAATATTAAAATTTCCTATTTTTTTATATGATCCAACTTCCGAACAAAATAAAGGAAATAAAAATTATTTTTTTTATTTGTGGCATATGAGTTGTACTAAACAACCCATCAACTACTCATTATATGTAATTCAGATTAGGTACATATTATTTTAGTTTATAAAACAGTTATTAATATGACTCATTTCCAGGGAAGTATATACAATTTAAATTACCTCTAAGAATCTGTAAATATACAAAACAAAGTGATAAATTGCAAACGTTAAAAATTCAAGATATTCAGTAAAGTATTTTTGAATTAAGTTTTAATATTATAATTGTATCATTTTTAAAATAGAGACTTTCTTAAATGACCTCCGTATAGAATAAAAGAAATTAAATTTTTTTAAATAAATAAATTTAAAAAAAATTCTTGAAGGAAGTTAGTCGACTGTTCTACATATCATGGGTGATAAATATGCAGGACGCAGTCTTTTTAAATTTTTTTTTTATTTTTTCCAAAGTTTCAACCCAAACATGTGGGTCATCTTCAGGGCTGAAAATGTTTTTTTAAAATTACAATCAGAGATATAATAGTATACGACCGCTAATTATAAATAATAAACTATAGTGATTGATGTCACATGAATCTTAACTAATATTATAATACACATATTAAAATAGTTATACAAACTAAAAATAAAAAATAATGTATATAATCCATTTATATAAATTTGTAATATTTTCTCTTACTAACCGTGGTTTAAGCCCAAACTGTAATTCTTCTTATATAGGAGAAACCAAAAACTATTTAAAAAAATGAATCTATCAACACAAATATAGCATCTCCACACGAAACCCGTTTACCTCAAAACTAGTGGAACACGCCATAACCCTAAACCACACATTTCATTTCGAAAACCCAACCATACTCGCCACAGTTCCCAATCACCAAAAACGACTACTATCGGAATCTGTATTCATTAATTTGTAAAAAAATAATCCGGTAAACCATAAAGTAGACAAAGAAAAGATCTGAAATACATATTCAAATATTTTCCGCCTCCTGAAACAATAGCCTATGTAATCCTTAATATAACACAAACTTATATTATGATAAATATTGTAAATGTTTTCCTAAGTATCATCTGCATACATTGAAATTGTCTTTATTATAAAAATTATTCACCTAACCCTTGTATACTTGCTATCAAACTAAGCTATATTTATATTAATTGGCACCTTTTGCTTATGTTCATTTTAATACTAGTCAATAGTCACATTCCTGTAACCATATGAAATAACTCAAATATTGTACACGTCTGAAATATTTGTCAGCAAATTATGTATATTCTACAAACAACATATGTTACCCTCCCTTCCCCTCTAACCTTGTTTACTTACATTTTGCTATCTAAAAAAAAAAAGGACAAGTGGGAAATCCTCCCCCCCCCTGACCTTTTTACTTACCTACCAAACATTTGTCAGTACATGAACAACCTCAGTGCTTAAACCACGGTTAGTAAGAGAAAATATTACAAATTTATATAAATGGATTATATACATTATTTTTTATTTTTAGTTTGTATAACTATTTTAATATGTGTATTACAATATTAGTTAAGATTCATGTGCCATCAATCACTATAGCTTATTATTTAATATAATATAAAAATATAAAATTAATGTTGTTGTGGATTGATAGGTATGCTGTGTACGAAGCAACCCTATGTAGTAGGGCAGCATTACTTTTAATAAAGTATTTCTCTCTCTCTCTAGCGGTCGTATACTATTATATCTCTGATTGTAATTTTAGAAAAACATTTTCAGCCTTGAAGATGACCCACATGTTTGGGTTGAAATGTTGGCAAAAATAAAAAAAAATTTAAAAAGGACTGCATCCTGAATATTTATCACCCATTAAAAAAAATTGTTTAATTTTTTTGGACAATTAAATTGTTGCATTAATATTTGTTGGTTAATACAATCAATATAATTTACCAACAACGTTATTATAGTACCATAACTAAGTCATTCATCAGTACTCAATGGTGTGGTAGAGGCCTGTAGGCACCTATGCCAGTTCTGCTTAAGTGCATTTTCTACTGAACTGCTGTAAATATTTTAAAAAGTAATCAGATTTTAAAAAGAAAAATATAATCTCCAGATGTTTTATTTCAGCACCTTTTGTGTTATTGTTGGTCGTTTAATTACAAACGACGCTTGATTTTCAACTTGAAAATTTTGTTGTTGAAAAAATTGACTTTACTGGTGATTTTTATTGCCTAAGCCAATTATGTTTTAATATTTTATTATTTTCTGACTATCCAGCTTTCATAAAAGATCAACTATGATGAAATTAAGGCAAATGCTGATTCTCAGTGACCAAAAAACTAACTAAAGTCAAATTCGTCAGTCCGCCATTTTGGGGCAGTTCGTTCACTTTTTTTTGTGGGAACATTGGATTTTATTTAATAAATAGTTACAAGTAACACAACAATATGCAATTTATAGGGATGTGGGGGGAGGGAAAGGCTGAGGAGGGGTGCACGGTAGGGGTGTTTGGCTTATCGCCTATAAACATGGAGGTCAAAAAGCCTATAATATATCCAACAATAGAGCAATAGTTCTTGTTAAGATTTTTACTTATGAAAAAAAAATACATTTATATATTTACTAAATATATAAATATATTAAAGAGGATATATATAAAAAAAAACTTTTAAAAATAAATTTACCAGGAATAGATAAAGGTATAAAGGTATAGATAAAGGTAAAGCCAGACTCATAATAAAATAAAAAACAGGGTACACAGAACTCTGTTCAAACAGGAGTAATCATGCCTCTACTTTCCATGGCCCCTCTATTTTAAGTTTTCGTAATCACTGGTCATTAAAGGGTTGATATAGCTGAAATTTTTATCAGTAGTATCAGTGATTAATAAATGCCTTTGCATTATTATTCTCAAATAAATACAATACTTAATCCTAATAAAAATATTCAAACACCACCTTCATACAGTAATTAAGTGCTTACCTATAACAAAGAAACAGAGAATAAACATATTATTTATCAAAACCAATTTCTTTGATTGTTCCAAACAGCCTCTGGAATAACATTTGGGATATGTTTGGAAGTTCCTAATTATTCCAACAAAAGATATAAAAAATGATACTTTTATAAAATATTTTCCACATCTTTTTTATTTAATTATAACACTACATTTTATAAAAATCTAAAAAATAAATTTGAAGGTAACCTGGAGTTGTATCGATAGATAACAATTTTCAGTATTGTAATACTGCAAATTAAATTTGTATAAAATCTTACATTTGTTATAAGAAACTCACTAAGTAGAAAATTATAACCTAAAGTTTGACATAAAACTAAAGCAAATAGACACAAGTAGTCCATAAAATTCGTCTGGCAATTAAAAATTAATACTCACAAAAAAGTTAGAATGGATAAATAAGCTAGTTATGTTGTGATATTAAATATAAGTGCTTAATCTCTTAATAGAAATCAGCACATTTTATAACATTACATTTGATCACTGAAATACATAAAATATATAAAACAACTTTAACATAATTTGTGAAAAAAAAGGAATGTCCATATCTTACAATAAAATTACTTTAAAATTAACATTAAAAACTGTCCACGTTAATTCTTGATTTAATATTTATATAATAAAGAACAATTTATACTAATGGTACAACATTCTTAAAATTTAATGTCTGAACATATTAAATTCAATTATAAAAATCAAAAAATAAATTTATATACAACTAATTGTGTATGATAAATGTAAAACTACAATCTGCAGTTACTAGTTTATACTTGCATAGCTACAGTAAGCCATACAAAAAGAAACTATGTTTGCTAATTAAGTTCTGATATCATTAATGTAACTGCTTAATCTATTATTGAAAATCAGCAAATGTTACAGCATTAACCTGAAAGAAAAAAAAAAGTCAAGAAAGAATAAAGTTCAATATGGTTTTAAAATAAATGTTATAGCTTACTGTCTAAAATTGAACTAAGAAGTCAGAGTAAAATCATCAAATCAATTAATTACATGAGAATAATTGATTTTGGTTTAATATTTTTTTAAAGAGATTTATAGACCTTGTATATAATTGGTATATATAATTGATCGGTATATAATTGGTCTGTTTATCTGGCATTTTTGCCATACAGGGTTTTGTTATCTCCGAATAGAAATCTGAATAAGATCATAGGAAGACAGAAACGGAACCGGGTGCGGAGATGCTGCAAAGAATTTATCTAGGAAATCCAAGATAAACAGATCAAGCTAGGACTCTGAGAACTGGGTATGTTGGGTAGGGTTGTATGGTACAATATAAATTCTGAGAGATTGTAGGAGGCTGGTCAGGTGGGAATGGTCAGAGGATGGTATCATTAAATTTGTATTGAAGTCTCCGGAGAGGATAATATTGGAGTAGGAAGGGATCAAGTTGTAAAGGGAAGTTTCAAATAATTCATCAAAGAGAATTCTGGGAGGGAGATAAATGACTGCAAAGAGAAGGGGGGATGATGGGATGAGGATTTAAAAAAAAAGATATTCTAGGTATGGTGAATCTGTATGGGAAGAGCAATGGAGGATTTATAATTTAAGGCTGTCATGGACTAAGAGACCTACACCACCACCTGTACGATCCACTCTCCCATGACGAAGGAGGGTATAACTGGGTAAAGTAATTTGGGAAGACGGAATAGAAGGCTTTAACCAGGTTTCAGAGACTACAATTAAATGGTAGGAGTTGTGGAGGAAACATTCACCAAATGGACTAGGAGTGACTGAGCTTTGACGTGACAAGTTAAAAGGATATTAGTCAAATAAACTGACTGGAAGGGCTTGGGGTAGGAATATTTCTACAGTGGTTGGAGCAAGTATGAACCCAGAGTACATAATGATGATGACACCTCGATTGAGAAGAACCGTAAGTATAAAAATATAGGAATATAAACAATAAATAAAGAATGCAAATTTGCTAGATATTATTAATTTTGAAAAGTAGAAAATATACTATTTAGTAAACGAAAGGTCCACCTCTACAGTGAGAAAAACAATATTTACGTAAATTACAACGTCTAAACAAATCAAACTTAGACTGTTCTTATAAACAAAAATAAAATTATTATCAAAATATATTTAATCAAAACAACAAAATTATAATGTTGAAAATAAAAAAGGGCAAAAACAGAAATGAAAACTAAAATGTGTAGAGTAATGAAACACAATTGCATGTGAAGCGAATATGTCCAGGTCTGATGACGAGTTAATCACGACAACCTACTGGTCATCATATAGTCAGCATTTCACTTTGCCTGAATCGAACCTGACATATCTGATCTTCCATGCAGACCTCTTCAGTTGGGCTAACCAGTATAAGTGTTTGTTGGTTACGGACATTGCTTTGCTTACATATATTTTGTGAATGTCATTTTCCTGCCATCCCAGGTGACAAGTTAAAAAGTCTCATATAACGTTCCGTCTTTGGACCAACTCCCTGGACTGTCTGACGAATCTCACCAGAAGCGGCCCGGGTGTATCATCCTGCAATGTGGTTTGGCCCGGCGCACAAGTGTGCATTTTACTGAAGGGACCACACCTTAGTCTCCTGTTGATTGCTTGTCAGGCCCTCGTGGATTGCTGCCTCTAGATTGGTTCGCTTCATGCTGCCTTTTCTGGTCGTTTCCCTCTTGGGCTGCTGGTGGACTTCCTCTCCCTATTGTGAAGTGCATGGGTTCCACGCATATTTCAATCTTGAAAATCTGTTCCTTTTTTAAAAACTGAATTTTCAAAAATGGCCAAAAGTCATTTTCTGCGAATTTTAAATTTGAATATCACAAAAGAGATTGAGTGAAAAAATTATGAAACTTGTATATCTTATAACATTCAATAATAAGGACATATGAAATAAATTTGGTGATTGAAACCGGTTGAGGAGTTATATTATATTGTATGAAATTTGTATAAAAAATGATAAATCAGCAGCCTACAGTATGAAATTATGGCACTGGATTGAATTTTGTTTATCATTACACAAATTCCATGGTAGGCATATAAGTTTTCACTGCAGTGACAGCTACTATCACATCAACTAATATACGTAAGCGCCTCAACAGTGAACTGTCACCCTAAAGGAGCCCTTACATTGTCAATATTATTGAAGCAATAATTTTGAACTTGGCATTAATCTTACAATTGTTACAATACTCCTCAGATGGTCAATATATTCTATGTTTATTCAATATTATTAACCATGTAAGGGCCCCTTTAAGGTGACAGTTCACTGTTGAGGCGCTTATATACATCAATTGATGAGGTATAACTATGGTTGTAAATATAGATGTAACTATGGTTTTGAACCCTCAGTTAAATATGGAATAACTGTCTTATTGAACAACATGGTCTGGGTGATTTCAAATGGATTGACCTTAGTTCTTTATTTTTTTCATTTTTAACAATAATCGACATTATCATCATAGTGGGCACTACGAGTGTTCATTAGGCCTGGGCCTCCTCTAACTAAAAGCCGTCACTGGCTGGCTCGGTCTGTTGCAGCAACTCTCCAGTTTCAGGTCCAAGAAGGACCTGTGCGTCCACAGAGATAGAGTCTGCACATCTTCATTAGGACGACAAATTTTCTGTTTACCATGAGGCTCATCGGGCTACGTCTTTTTTCTTAATATGGTCATCCTCCATCCTCAATATATGGTCTGCCCATTGAGGTTTCATCTGAGCTTATTGAACTTGATAACATCAATGTCATTAAACAACTCAGATACTCCATGGTTTTCTGTCTCCATAGACACCCTCAATATGTGCCAATAGACTTTTTTCTTTATTTTATTAAAAATTATTAAAACCATCCTAACCAATCAAAAGGGGAAACAACCACTGCTGGATGGAAGGAGTAGACTTGGTACTCATCTATTAGAGGAATTAATTTTTTATTTATTACTTTTATTCCTATTTTCTTTAACCTTTTTTATTTTTTAGCTAAGCAGCGATTATGTTTTTTCATTTCTTATTTGTATAATGTTTAGTTATAAAATGAAGTTGTTAGAATAATGACAATAGTAAGAACAAGAGACAAATAATAATCACAGGTACAAAATGTGGAATGATGAGGTAAACATAGTCAAAAAGGTGACATAAGTAGATTTTTGACTATGTTTACCTCATCATTCCACATTTTGTACCTGTTATTATTATTTGTCTCTTGTTCTTACTATTGTCATTATTCTAACAACTTCATTTTACTGTGATTTTTATGTTTCTCATACCTTGTTATCTGGTTCTTTTCTTAGCCCTGATGATGGCCTGAACTTCAGGTCGAAACGTCGACAAATGACAAAATAAATATTATCATTTATTTTTGCCTTCTGATTTGACTGATCACCCCAACTATTCTTCTTCTCATTATATTTTATATAGTTTCTTCAGTACGGTTGTGTATATTTTGTTAGTTTCATCAGGTTTTTTTATTTATTTAAAGTAACTCTTTTTATTTAATTTAGTTCTTCTGGCCAGAAGTATTTCTTTTGTTCTGTAACCTTTCGTTATTCTTAGGGAACTTCGTACCAGAATAAAGTTATTTTTTTTTATTTATTTCTATTTCTATAGTCAATTAAAGTCTGCATGAGGAATCACTGGGATTCTCTTTATTGGAATAGTTTTCTTCATCACTATTTCACTTTAAATGACAATTACACTGACAAATTATTAACCAAGTTAATTTGGCAGATGAAATCGGTGTGGAACAAGTTGTATGAGGCCTAGTAGTAATTTTTATAATTTATAATTAATTAAAAAAGACACTCAAGCAACAGGAACATACCTTTTTCATCCCTATGGCACAATTAATCTTCTTCCCAACTATTTACCATATCTGCCAATGCTTGAAATCTTCTTTTTCTTCTTTCTCCAGAGCAGCCTTTCGCTACACTTACTGATGAATGGGATTCTTCCCACATCTGTTCTGATCTGTGAATGGGTGAAGATATGTCACCACCTATAAGATTTTTTACAAGTATTAAAATAATAATGTAGAGATGGTTGACTGTTGATATAATATGAGAAGGAGTTGATCGGGGGGTGCGGTCAAATTAATACTAAATTAAATAAGTAGAATTAAATAATTATACTTATTTAATTTAGTATTAATTTCACTGCACCCCCCGATCAACTCCTTCTCATATTAAAATAATAATGCAAATAGCGAACTAAGACAATTGAAAAGTGATAACATTACTAAACTTGGATGAAAATTATTACAGAAAAATTAGTAATATCATACCTCCATAGAAGTTACTAAGTCTTCTGAGACTCACTTTAGTTTTTTCACTCAATTCCGGTTTAACACTATCACTTCTACATACTTCCGCTAAAATCAGAGAAGCAAACATTCTATTTAATATTTTCAAAAAGCTTGAGTAAGAAGGTTTAATTACATTTTAAAATATATATATAAAATATTCTCTAACACATCAACAATAAAATATCATTTGTTTTATAATATAATTTATTTAATTCATATTGAGCACTGAAAAGACCAAGACAAAAAACTAATAAAAATTGACCTAAGACAGCGTAATTTAAAAGCATCATGAAATTTGGCTAGTCAGGAGTCGGATGATTCCAATTTATATAAAGAAACTGTTCCTGAAGTTGGTTCAAGTGGTGTAAAGTATTTCATACATGTTTTATTGGATAAATAAAAGAAACCAAACCTACTTGTGAGAGAGGTAAACAATTATTTACATCTATCTGGAAGAAAATGAGGTAGAGAAAACAAAGAATAAAAGTGATATGCAGAGGTAACCAAAAAGTTTTTACAATATTAATAAAGTAGAGCAACCATTATCCAGACTAGGTTGACTAATCAAATCTACTAGAGACTAGTCCAGGTATTAAAATAGTCTGATAATCTACACAATTGTAAATAAACGCAAATGGGAACAAAATAAAACAATAATATAGGATATACAGTGGATCAAAAAAGTATTGGACACTCCAATTTTTCTGTTTATCTCAATAAGATTAAGATATTTTCTAGAAAAAATATTTATATAACACAGTGGCCTTTCAGAATTATGTTTTAGAAGCAATGAATGTTCGGAATTCAAAAGCTATGTTTAAAGTAAACTTAAAGAATAAATTTTAAGGGTCAAAAAAGTACTGGAATAGTTTTAAATGTTTACTATTAGCTACAGTAAAAACAAATTAATACTTTTTCTTTCAAGAAATTAGAAACAAGGATTGACGGTAGTGCAATGGAAATAATAGATATCAATCTTTGCTGTATATTTTCCATAACAAAATAGGTGAAACCAGTGAATATCGTGTCAGTTTAAAAAAAACAATCATTAAATTACATTTTAGTGGACCTAGCAACTGATAAATAGTGAATAAATTAGAAATTGGTCTTAGTAGTGTTCAAAATACTGTGCAAATAGAAAGTTTTAAACATACCTCTTTCAGAGCGACCATCAATATTTAATGAGAGGGCACAAAGAATATCCATTGAACTGTTGAGCAAAACGACACTTTATCAGCTGCCGAGATAATAGAAGAGGCCACATTTACTTCAATTACCACCTTTTGTTAGAAATATAATTCATAAATATTATTATTATGACAGATTCCAAAGAAAAAACCTTTTATTGCAGAGATAAACCGCAATAAAAGACTTGATTTTGCGAAAAGTTAATTTAATAAAGACCTGGAATTCTAGAAAAATGATATATTTTCAGATGAAAGTAAGTTTAACATATTCCATTCTAATGGCCACAAATTTGTTTGGAGGAAACTTGACACTGAGTTTCAAACTCGACATGTAAGACCTCCTGTAAAACATGGAGGTGGAAATGTCCAAGTTTGAGAGGGCATGTCATGGAATGGCATTGGAAACTTAACCTTTATTAACAATATTATGAATGATAAACAATATCTTGACATTTTGCAACATAATTTAACAAGTAGAGCCAAAAATCTGAGGCTTAAAGATGCATTGATCTTCCAACAGAACAATGACACCAAGCACACACAAAATAAAACAAAACAATGGATGCTGTATAATATCCCCAGCCAATTCAAAATGCCACCACAGTCAGACATAAATGCTATAGAACACCATGGTACCTGTTAGATTTGAAAGTATGAAAAACAAAATTTCTTAAAAAATTATTTATAATAAACTTTGTCAGAGGAATGTCATAAAATTGGACAAGACATAATTCAAAATTTTGTTTTGTCAATACCAAGAAGATTCCAGGATGTCATAGGTGCCAAAATATTAATAAATATCCAGTTTGTGAAATAAATCTCAAATTAAAGTGTGCCAATATTTTTTTACTGTGTTGAAGTGATTTTTCATTTATTGATTTTTTTAATTAAGTAAATTAACAATTTTTTCACCCCAATTATGTATTCTTCTAAATCTTTTATTAAATAAAAATGTTTAGCAAATCAATTTCGGATTATTTTACAAAGAAACCTGAAAAAAGTTAAATGTGCCAATACTTTTTTGATCCGCTGCAAATGATTGTTTTTACTTAAATGTTTAAGTGTCATTCCCATATTACTTGTCAATATGCAATTCCAAGTCTTTACCTACTTTATTGTTAGAAATTTTGACTACGCTGTTCAAAATATTCTAGATTTGTAATGTAACTTAACTAAACCAGGAAAATGTCAATTTTTATCTATCTACGTAGATCTCTGATTTTAAAAATGAAAATGTCATTATTATAACTGCCTTAAATCCTATTTTATAACAGTTTTATAAATGATTGTTTTTACTTAAGTGTTTAAGTGGCATTCCCAAATTACTTGTCAATATGGCGTCCCAAGTCGTTACCTACTTTACTATTGGAATTTCCTTTGACTAAGCTGTTCGAAATATTCTAGATTTATAATGTAACTTAACTTAACAAGAAAAGTGCCAACTTTTATCTATATAGATAGATCTCTGATTTTAAGAATGAAAAGGTTACAATTACAACTGCCTTAAATCCTAGTTAGCAGTTTAATGAATTCAATTTTCAATGTAGTATATGACCTCTGATTACAGATTGTGACATTTGTAGTTAGAGGAAGCCTTTCTCCAATTGGTTCCAACCTTGAATTTACTATCATTCCAAGATTAATGATAGAAAAACTAAAAATATGGGGAAAAAGTGGGTCCCAAGATTTATCAGTACCATACCCAAAATAAAATTTCTGAATTTTCAATTTCTTCTTCATCACCCTTATAGAACCGTTCAGTGAAGAATGACTTTTAGACATGACTGCCACTCTTGTCCTAAGTAGGTTTTATGGCATGGAGGATCGTTTTGGCTCTCTTCCTGCATATATACTCGACATATTTCAGATATAACATTCTTAGGAAACCCCATGGTCTTTTACCATCAGAAAAGTATTCTATTGTTTTCAAAAGGTCCCTGTAGTTCTTTATCCTAATGTAAATAACCAAACTAATTGATGGGACTCCAGTAACTCCTTCATTACAACGATTTTGAGTTCCTCCCGGATCATCTCATTGCAGATGTGATCTCTTCTTGTTTTCCTCACAACTTGTCACAGCATTGTCATTTTAGCAACTGACTCTGCTCTCCTGCCAATAATTTTTGGTATCTTAAGTAAATAAGATGAACTAGTAAACTTTTCAGCTTTTAAAAATTAGTAAACCTGTTGAAGAATAGTCCCCATCAGATAACCATGTCTTTAGTGTTTGCTGTGCCCTTGACTTTAGAATATTGATAACCAGTTTTGTAAATTTTGGGTTGTAAAAACTTTATCCATTTTTTTTTTAACATAAAAACTGGAAAAATATTAAACATAATTTCTTCAACTAGATTTTAATGTATGGGCTTAGTAATACAGGTTGAACTATTATCGTACAACTGACCACTAGTGTTCAATAGTTTCTCACTTATAGATGCCTATATATTTACCAGAACACCATAATTTAAAATTATTCTTATAGAACAGAAAAACTAATCCAGCATAGACAGTTTACAAAATTTTCATGCTAATAATTTGATGAGATTTATTATGAACATATTGTTGACTTTAGCTACATTGACACTTAAGTTGACATTATCACAGCAGTTGATCCTGCAGACTATCAGTAAATTAAAGTGAAAATCAATATTTATTGCTTTAAACATGTTAAATTTGGTTATGTAAGCAACTTTTATTGCCAACATTGCAAGTGACAAAATATGATAGCGACATTTGGTTAAACATCTTAAAAGTAACTATGTGTAATATCATGACAAAAGTTTATTTACCAAACTAAAATAAATTTATGTATTCATTAATGAATATATATTCATAAATGAAAACTTAAAAATAACACAATTTTTTTCATCTCAAATATTCCTTGAATAATTTAGTTGAATTTATTTTTTTTTTTTAAAAGGAGTAACAAAAAGAATAGATCAAAACTAAAATAAATCAAAAATTGCTTAATATTTTGATCTTATTCATTAATGAGTAATGGATGATTAGCTATCTCTAATCTTTCAAGGATCATTACATTGTCAATCTACTGCCATTTGCAAAATTATGTATAAATACTACAAATCACCTTTTTCAGGATATTCAGCTCCTGCTTGCATTTTAGATCCGAATGAAATCAATTAATTAAATGCTTTATTTAATACTAAGATATCTAATCAACAAAGAACACTGAATTTTCTTGTTTATTGTAACCATAAGACACAACCTTTTCTTAACCAAACAAGAACTGTCAAGTTTAAATCCTGAACGATCAGCAAAACACCCGTTGAAAACATGTGTAAATTTTGTTCCCACAAAATGAGTATATATGATTAAAAGATAGTGAAAAGAAATATTGTTTAGTTATTTTATATTTATATTAATTATCATTGAATGGCTAGACTTTATATTATGCATATATAAGCTAAAACATTAGTTGTGAAATCTGTTGGTGAAACACAGAACTAACAGAGACTCATGAGTTTTTACCTTCTAAAATATCTTAAGTTCTTACATTTTATCTGTGACTGTTTCAGTACAATTAAAAATATTAGTTATGCTTTATTAAATAACAACAACAAATGAATATCAAATAGAGAATTTGAAAAAAAAACTAAAATAAAACAAATTTAGACACAGCCAATACCTCATTATTAATTTCAATCTAGTAATTAATTTTGCTTTTGCGATTGTTTTTGTTGTCCAATATCACTATGATTATCCATATTATTTATAAATTCAAAAACAAAGACAATAACACTACAAGTACCTGAATTTTATTCAATTCCTTGTCATGTTTAAATTAAAAAAAATAAATAAATAAAAATAGTAAATTATATGGTATATGATCTCACATTTTTTCTCATTTGTTATTAATTTTATATGCTAGATAAAAATGTTTATACTTTGAAATAAGAGCATCCAAAAATAAAATTAAAATTTGTTACAAGCTAGAAGTATATTATAGTAGAGATTTTAAGACCATGTATGAAATAGTAAAATATTTTATATTTAAGTAATAAAATAGTATTTTAATACTAAAAGAATAAATACTAATTCTTTGAATTTACATAATTTCATTACTTTATTATTCATTGTTTAATTCTTTACTTTGTTACCCTTTCTTCATATTTTTCTTTATTTATATATCTCATAAAAGTTTTTTCGATTATGCAGACAATGGTTGGTTAATATGAATGTTGCCTTTAAATATTAAATAAACTACACAATAGTAATAGACAAAATTTATAAAATGTATGAGGGAGCACAAAAAAATTAAAATAAAGAAAAGGACCTAACAGTAGTATATATCAGTCTGATGAAGGAAAACACCTTGAGATTTTAAACAATTGTAAAGGAATGTGATAAATAAAAAAATAAACAACAGTCGCAAGGAAATTATTGTTACCAACTTCACCTGTATAACAAAATTCTTTTCAACAAAAAAAAAAATGACAAGAACAAATTAATTTAATTCAATTTTCTAGTCACATCCTTAAGGTTTGGTGCCATTTTCTCATAATTTTTTATATATCTATTTAAGGCCAAAGGTCACCAAATATACACAGTTTTTTTATCCCGTGTATTCTTTATTTAACGGCTTCAGGAGCCATTTTCAAGATCCATGCACCGCACCATAATATTTTTAAAATCTATCATTGCGATATGATTCATTCTTAAGTCATTCTTTTATTTCAAAGAATGTCGTTTTTCATTTCTCTATTTGCAGACGATATCAAGAAATTGTTGTTCCTCACTAGGGCATTCGTACAGGACTGTTTGATAATCTTATATAATTTTTCATTTATATCTCATTACCGTTCTTGATATGTTTACTTTCTGTATCTTATTGGTTATCTTGTCTTTTCACAGCCATGATGATGGACTACAACTTTAGCTGAAAGATTGACACCCAATAAAATAAGACTTCTTATTCATAAATAAATACACATTTGACTGCACTTGCAATCAACTTTTTATAATAATTTATTTATCTTAAAAGGCATTTAGTTTTGAAGCCTCATTGAAGTTTTCAATTACAAATCACATGGCCTTTTGTTAATATTTCCATTAATAAAATAAATAAACAAAATAAAATTTGAAAATTGTATTTTAAAAGGAAAGGTTAACAACAAAAATTGATGTGGTTCGGGATTAACTCATGAATAGTCTTGTTCCAGAGCACATTCAAAAGAAAATAGTAGTGTATTTCCCTATGTATGTTGAAAAAGAAGTTAATTAACATGAAACTATTGTAGTACATGGACTTGAAAATACACAGAACGTGGAATAATCAATAAACTAAATACATGGTTATTTTGATCTAAAAAAATGGATTTACTTTAATTCATATAAAAAAAACAGATTCTTATTTTGTTAAAAAATCAGTGCTTATAATGATACCCAATTTTAAAATAACCCATAAGTCTAAATATTTTCTTCTGACTGCTTTAAAAAGGTAGATGGAGTAGCTCAATGAGTAAGAAAGCCAATTTCACAGGTTCAAATTCAGCTCTAGCAGAAAATTTATTTTTAATTTGATCAGGCCTGGAGCATATCCAGCAGCTATAAATTGGATACTTGATACTTCAATAGGGTGTCATGAAACCTGGCATTTAATTATCAGATCCTTATATAACTGATGTCCATAAAACAGTCAAACTGTCAAACCTTTTTCAAATGAAATTCCATTCCATATGACCTGGAGATATAATGTTTACAATAAATAATGGGGTCATTTTAAAAATAAATGCAATTTTCAACAGTTCATAAATAATTTTTACTAAATACCACATGTCTTAAAATATTAAGAGTGCCTCGTGGTAACATTAAATTACATTTCAGTTCAATTCTCTGAGTTCTTTTCATTGCACCATTTTAAATACAAATCTTAGATATATGGACATTAGTTTGTCATAAGTGTTGCTTTGTTAAAGTAATATGTTCATACAGTGTTGATGACGATGCTCTATTTTACAGCTGAATATCCTTAAAATTAATGTTTTTTAATTTTCTATTTTCTTACTTTTCTACCACACTCATCCTAGGCCCAATGGTACTCACCTATGGTAGTAACGAGGCTTTATTTTCTTAACACAACATAATTCTTTGTGAATATAGTGATAAATAAACACAATTTTTGTGATTTTTACATATGAACCTATGATAAACACTTTCTTAAGATAACAACCAATACCAGTAATAGAAGATACCAGAGAAATGGGACTGGCCATTTCATAAATTTCTAACCAAAAGATTAGAAATTGAGACGATGCTGAGTAAAAAAAATAAATTAAATGATTGTTTAAAATGTTATCTTTGAGTAAGTTATTATGGTAGGACGCATTACTATGAATTAAAATATTCAGCATGTTATGATGGTTCTCTAACTTACGGATGAAACGACACACATTCATGAAATACTTTTAGAACATTAGTAAAACTTAATAAAATTAAATGTTAACAATAATTTTTTTGGAATATTTTGCAATAACTTATTTTAGCAGATCTCATATTAATATATTTTATCTATCAATTCTTCAATAAATTTATTAGAAAGTAATTAAAGATGTTATAATCTGATAAAGACAGAGAGAAAAAAAAGTTTTAACAAAATTATATTTGTTTTAAAGTTTAGCTTAAATGTTACAAATTTATTATCTAGAGCTAATTTTTTATAATTTTTTTTCCTTCATTGGTAGAATTCAAAATCACCTCTAAAGTAAAAGTTAACTGAAATTTAAAGGACTTCAACGTGGCAAACATTTTGGAAATGATCCAATGAAGACTTTTAAAAGTGATTTCAATTTGATCAAGACCTTTGTGGATCACATCTAGCTAATATAGAACAGAACCTGGACCCTTCAACGAACCCTTTCGAATGAAACCTGGTTGAGTACAGAGGAGATGACCATACCAGCTCCCTATATTTGTTCACAGTTTAAAATTCAAGATATTGTATATTATATTTAAATTTTAATTCCTTTATTATTTTTAGTTTTCTATAGACCATATAACAAATTAATCAAAAGTTACATATTTTAATATGTAACATGTCTGTTAAAGAGTGTAATGGAGCATAAAATAAATTAATTTTGTTTCCAACTTAATTGTTCAAAGTTGAAATTAGATATGTAATTATAAGTCGAATTGTCAATGAAACTTGTTGAGAATTTATAGTAGGTATGTAAATTATTTTATCAGGCAGTCAGGTGAATCAAAAATGTGTTTCAACTTCAGGTGAATGCATGACGGGATAAAAATGATGTTTGGGGAAGATATAAAATTTATGAATAGATGGATAGAGCATTTTGAAGAAATTTTAATGTGGACTGTCCAACTCAGGAAGAAGCACAACGTGGATCCTGGTCCACATCAGGAGGAACCTGATTGAGAACCTTAACTGTGAAAGACCCTGATTTGAGGATTTTCAAAATGCCCTAACTTCACTAAACAATAAACGTGTCCCTGGAGAAGATATTCTCTGTGAAAACTTTAAAAGCGGTGGGATCTACTGTTTCAAAGGATGTACGTTTTAATAATAGCAACTGGACAAATGAGCAAATGCCTTTCAGTTAGTGCTTTGGATTGATTTAGTGTATCTTTAAAAAAAAAGATAAATCCAAGGCCAAAATTAACTCGATTGTAACATAAAAAATCCTGCCAAGGGTGCTAGTGGAAAAGTTTAACAATACCCTGAAAGGAACCTTACGGATTACCAGTGTAGTTTCCGTCCTAACATAGGAACTATGAACTAAAACAGATATTAGAAAAATGCTACAAGCACAATACTGATTTGCACTTGCATTTTATGGACTATAAACAGACTTATGATTCAACGACATAACAGGATTCAGCTTTTTCAGGCTCTTGAGGGCTTTGGCATTCCTCTAAGCCAATTCATTTGACTAAAATGACAATGGCTCAAAGTGTCCTCGTTGGCAATCAAACCAGTTATAAAACCATGTTCAACAGTGTTGTAAGAAGGGAAGATGCCTTATTAGCCATACTCTTCAACCTAATCCACCATAAAGCCGTGGAATGAATTGTTCCAAGTGGTAACCTTTGAAGCCGTATTATGCAGATAATTAGTAATATGGGGTAGAAGCAGAAGTGTTTTAAAGAAATTGCTAGTTGAATTTGATACTGAAAGCACTGAAGTTGGCCTAGTAATTAATGAGTTAAAACCAAATATGTGGTATTATATACAACCACAACCAGAAGAAGGCCAAAAGATTTAGTTGTGGGTACTTATTGCTTTGAAGTTGTTGATCAATTCACCTACCTTGGAGAGAAATTAAAGTATGAAAACAAGAAAAATGATGAGATCAGAAGTAGAATCATGGCTGGAAACAAAATTGAAAATATGTAAGACTATTTTTAATAGAGAAAGTAAGCAATTATTCCTTACTAAGAAATAACCACTATTATACTAATCTTTACAATTGAATATCTCAAAACTGCAATAATGTACTTACACTAATTTTGTTTAATGGCCCAAATGTTGTTAATATGTGACAGCTGGATATTAGAAAACCTCTAATAAAAAGGATGGATCATTGGTTTATGCCTGACTTTTGTTAAACAGAACCCATTGTAGGATTTTTTCCACTCATAATACTTTTACTACTTTCAAAACCTTTCAATTTTTCAAACATAACATTACAAAATTACATTTTCCATTGGTACTATCACCAAATTATAATAATTGGACGTGCAAGTGTTCTTTCAACTATTTAGGTTTATATAATTATGATTTCATGATGTTGAACTCCATGCTAATTTTAATTACAATAAAATGCATACATGTCTGATTATTCAAAATATTAAGTGTGAAACAAAATAAATAGTAACAACACTCCTCTAAAAAATAGATATATTTATTCATTGTAGACATAAGCATGTATAATCGCTTAACTGGTAATAATACATTATTTAATAACGTATATATAGTTGAGGTAAATTGACATTTAATAAATACAAATTACATCCATTAACTAATTACCTTTGAGATACAAATGATATAAAATATAAAATTAAGAATAAAGGTTTTTAATGTAATGACAGGCATTGTTTTTGTTTTTGAATGCAAGTAGTAAAAAATACAATTTGGTTAAAAATGATATATAATAAAAAATGATAAAAAATAAGAAAGTAAGAACCAAATATCTTTGAGGAACTTCAGATATTGATTTAATTACAATCATCTACAATCCTTATGAATCAGTTATTTTAAATAAAAATCTATTCACAATACAAAAAAAAAATTAATTAAATAAAACAAAGGATACCTAACGCTTTAAATCACCTAAATCTTCAATAGAGTCTTCGTCTATGTCAGGCCACTTTTCTGGTATCACATCAAATAATTCGTCTTTGACATCACCTTGAATCACAATTTCATCTTCACCAGTAACAGATGATCCACATGCAAATTTAGTACCGAAAAATTTGGCAGCTACTTTGAGATCAATATCAAAAGAACTTAAACCAGTCACAACAGTTACAGATTTCTTTTTACCCCTTGGTGCTCGAGATAAAAACACCTGTTTAGGTCCACTTTCTTTCTTGCTCCTTGCTTTAATTATTCCTTTACCACCTCTCTTCTGTTGCTTCTTTTTTTCAGTGCCTTCTTCTTCTGGTTTATCACCAATTGAGATTTTTTCAAATTCATCAGGTAAATTTTTTTCTAACCAGGCTTTACATTTATCATGGTCTGGATGATATTCACAGTATTCTATGGGTAATGAACAATTTCCACAATATACTACAGTAAGGGGATAACTGATTGTCTCCATACTTAATACTTCTTAACATAAAATAGTTCAGAAATATAGATTACAAAATTGTTAAACCTGCTCCGGTGAATGGAACAACAACCGTATTGGTAAAAAAGGTTCAGAGAGGTAGTTTGACTAAAGCGTTCTGTAATGAATCTTTCACTCATCAGCTAACAAAGAGATCGTAAAGATACGAATATAATAAAGATTATTCAAAATTTCTTAATGTTACTTAAAACTACGTAATTACTTTATATGCAATCTATTAAAGTAAAACGACAGACAGATTTATTTTTATTTAAAACAATTGAGGATTTTTTTCTCGTTAGTTCCATTTTAAAATTATGTTAATTCGTGATAACATGGATTGTATTATTTTAGTAATATTTTATGGATTCGTACCCAAACAAGGTTTCTTTGATGGAAGAATCAGAGAGTGGATTAAAAAACTCATGACTGATGAGGTGACTTAACTTGAGCCTTAGTTCGTAGTCATATTACAATATAATTCATATAAATATTGCAAGAAGGCGATATGGCATTATAAACTATAAAAAATGGAATTTCTTGATATTTTTCGCAAAGAAATCGAAAAAATATTCACATTACCAATAGTCACTAGCGGATCCAGGATTTAATTTTGGGGGGGGGGAGGGGCTTCAGCCCGAAAGCTTTTTTTTTCATAAAAGTAACGATAATTACTTTGGAAAATACGAAAGAAACTAAGTATCTATACGAACTGGTGTTTAAGTGATTCCTAAAGTCCTTTTAAATGTAATTACACGAATAATTATACTTTAAGAGATAATTTTTTAGTATTTTTCCGATAAAACATGGTTATATTTTACCATTTTGGGAGGGGGGGGGGGCTTCAGCCCGAAAGCCCTCCCCCGTAGATCCGCCCGTGCCAATAGTTTTTAATATCAATCGAAAGATGGATACAGCTCAGTTTGCTTGTTTTATTTATGGACAATCCAACCATTATCTCTTTTTAAAGTTGAATGACGTTCGTTAGGTGTATCGTTATCAAAAAAGTATAAGAAATTAAAAAAAAAAAACTGTAAAATTGACTAATTTTTAGTGTGTCGTAAGAATGTCGCTATTCCCAATTGTCGAAATATATTTTCATTTTAGGTTAGGACTCTGAGTATTTCTACACCAAAGTTTTAGGCGGTGTGTGATAGACACAACAGCTATCGGATTTTGTTTTTTGTTAATATTATTATTATAAATCCTTTTAATCGACCAATATAAAATAAATTTCCCCACCACAAATTTCATACAAAAATATACATAGATCCAAAAATCGTATTTAAAAGTTTCCTTTTTTCCTAGATTAGAGGGCCGATTTTTAAAATTTGATGCCAAATACACAGGTCACCCTTCGATAGGATTTCTAATCTGAGATCTATATTAAGGTTCACCATTTTGTTTTGTAAAAAATGCCAAATCCGGGTCTTGTAAAGAAGTGTTTGTTTTGATCTAAGTCTGTGTAATAAACTCAAGTTTCTCTATTTTTTAAAGAATTTGAACATTTTTTTCACACATATAAAATCGTAACACTGCAATTATTTGCATATCACAGTAATTTATTAATAAATATCCTCTTAAGTTATTATATCAGGCCGATATATGAGTTTTCGCTCAAATTTATTATTTTATATAGAATTATGCCAATTCCTTTGAGACTGGTTGACACATTTATTAGGAATACAAATAATATTTATACCAAGTGGAACTCAATGAATCATGATAAAATAATGTAACGCCGATATAGAGATGACTTAGAATATCGATATCTGCTCAAATTTTGTGGAGGATAAAAAAAAATTATAATATAAATAAATTTTAAAAAATCGTCTAACTGTACCAATCAAGGTATAATTAGGTCATCAGAACTAGATTGATGGATTTACACTTCCTTTCAGCAAGTAGAATAATTTTCTATGCAACGTAGTACTGATCTAGACAACATAAATGAATGGTCGATATGCTGAAATTTAGGTTTATCTATCTTTTATCGATCAAAACCTTTGACGAAAAGGGAAAAAAGGCCGATACGGCTTATATATATCGGCCATTAAAATATTAGTATCGGCCAAAATTTCGATATCGGTTGGTATCGAAATATATATATATATATATATATATATATATATATATATATATATATATTTATATATATTCATACACACTAGTGGTCATAAAACAGGCAAAATTTTGCCGTTATTTCTTTTCCAATAGAAAAAATTACAATTATTTTACCTGATCCATCTCACGTATTTGGAGGTCACATGAAGGGATCTGCTGTCGACGGATGGACGTCCTAATCTGATCCCGAAGATGAAGTCCGTACTGCGAGCTGGCCACTCTTAGCTGAAGCACTAACCTCGTCGATAGTCTCGTACAAAATTTCCGCCCTACAGGTAAATGAAAATAAAACAAAATATATGATAATAAGTCGAAAATTCCACCCCAATTACAGGATCTGCGTAGAATCATTCTCGAGAGATTCAAATACATCGGTTCCACAATAAACTCAATGAATGACCAACGGTCGGAAATAGACCAGCGTATAACTAACCCAAACAAAACTTTTATCTTTCTTTCAAAGGTATCGAAATCCCAAAAATCTCAAATTAGGAGATATTCAAATTAATATGATAAAGTCAGTTTTAAAAAGAAGATAGTTGGAAGAAGATGGAAAAAAAAGATAGATAAAGAGAGACAAGTGAGAGAAAGGGAAAATAAATGTTAAAAAAAAGAAAAAGGATAAAAAAAAAAAAAATCCAATAAGAATAATACATATATATATATATATATATTGTATCCTATGCTCATAAATACTGTTAATCCTGGATAATTATATATTATTTTAAAAATTGTCTGTAATGATTAATAAGTATGCTGTGTTTTTAGAAACCCAATGTAATTGGGTAGCACCATTTTATGATAATAAATTGATTCTCTCTCTGGCTGTGAGACCGGGACATGTAGCTATGAGCAATCCATCTGGAAGCCTCTACATAACAATAAATGCCTCAATAGAAGGTTAAAGATTACGTGAAAGGTCAAAAAGCAGATGGATATATAGAATCAACACAGATGCAATAGAGCTGCATGCAGATAACTGGAAAGAAATAGCATAAGATAGACAGAGATGGAGTAGGCTTAGTAAGGCAACAAAAGATTTACGTTATGTAATGCCAACAGAAAAAAGATAGATAAAAAGACACACTCATACTTACATATAATAAATTTTCCCAGCCCTAATATTTACGTTTCTATGAAAATAATTGAAGCAATCAGTATGTTTCTTCATTTTAAACGTAAATTTTAGTTCAGTTGAAGGAGGGTAAAAAAATCACGAATAATGTATGACTTTTTTTAACGGAACTTTGCTGTGTTTGTTCGTTCTATAGACCTCTCTAAATAGTTATACAAATGGTAAACTTTACTTTTATTTAAAATAAATGTTGTTCAGCAATATTTAATTACTTAAATCAAATATTTTTTAAATTATCGCTTCCGATTCGACAAAAAACGTGACTCGCTTAAAAAAACACCAATCTTAAATTTCCTACTTTTCTTACTGAAAATCGTGCAATTGCTTATATGAACTTTTTTGTAGATCTTGATGTCTACTATCAACTTCTTAAACATTTCTCTCTACTTACGTGATACCCTGTATATTGTATAGACGAGTAGTCAGTCTTTATACAGAAGTCGTGTATATATTTACGCTTCCCTATCTCTTTTTTTTATTATTCCATTCTGCTAAGCGAACATAAGTTGTATATATATACAACTTATATATATATATAGTGATTTTTTTAATATATTATCAATGCATCTTAATTTTAGTTAAATGCCATCTGATTTCGGTTTTAAAACATTGGTATCGGATATCGGTTTTATCATGAGATAACATTTTGGTAGTGCAATAAATTGTTCTAAGAAAATTCAGCCGCGTTCCATATTCAATATTGTTATATCTTATATCTCCTCATCCATGTAAAATTCTAATATTTCCATTACTAATGTTGATTGCATACAGTAACTGCTACGAAAATATTTTAGATAATATTAGAGCATATATGTCCACCGTATAGCCTCCTTTTTAACAGAGCTAGATCATTAATATTCGTCTAAAACATCGTAAATCACTCCATCCCTAAATTATGTTTTTTGTTTTTAATTATGTACCTCATGACTTTTATGAAACAATTGAATGGCTAATTAATACATGAGTCAGTCAAATGTTAAATATCACTGCCTAAGGTAATTCCTCATTAAAATGAAATTACAGGTGTTTTCAAATTTTGCTAAAGCTCCATTATCGAACACAAGAACACTTATGATATTTGCACAGTGACTAATGCACAGTGTGTCAGGATAAGCATCATAAAGGTAGGGATTATTGTTAATGGGTTAGTTATCGGATAAGATTAACTTTATTTATATGTGCTAGCCAGTATTTTTTTTTTCTTTTTTTTTTACGAATTTTACAGTTTTATTTTCTATTGCTAATAAGATGATGATGGATGGCGTACTATACTTTCCAAAAGAAATTTACTGAAGTCACCTATTTATGTTCATATAAATGTTTTGTTTTGAAAATTTGATGTCATCTGCAAAATTTTTATTAAAGAAAACAAAGTTAGAAATTTGAGAAATGTGGCAAACCGAATTGGAACAATAAGACTAAACAAAAGAAATAATATACAAAACTAAAAGCGAACATAAATTGTATATATATATATATATAGTGATTTTTTTAATATATTATCAACATTGCATCTTAATTTTAGTTAACGGAATAAAATGCTACTGCTTCAAATGGAATACTTCCAAAGGGATATCAACCACCAACATTGTAAAAGAAAAAAGTAGAAGACAACGAATAAGCTGTAAAAAAAACTCTAGAATTCTTTAAATCAATGAAATATAAGGGCAACACGCGTTACCCGACAACCAACCACATTAGTCTAGGTGTTGACTGCGATTGAGTATACAAAAATCCGCACCTCGACTTCTCTTCAAATTCTTGTCCAGGGTGCCCTATTAACTAGAAAATAGAAAAAAGATTTGCCACTCCCGAATGTGGCAAGTTTAGGCTGTAGGGAGGAGGGGGGTGTTCTATGTGTAAGTGACGCTCTTTGTCTTACATCTATAACTCGACAATCAATCACCGCAAAGACTCGAATTTGGTCTCAAATTGTTCGTAGTGGTAATGCTGAGAAATTTTTGTTATTTCATATTTTTTGGTATTAATATACCGGAGTGAGTAAATCGAGGGCGGAGTTTTATAGAGGGTTCTCCTAAATATATTGCCTCATTTATTTTTCTGATTTTATATGATAAATCGAAATGGTTCTAACGAACCCCCTGTCTTCTAATTAACTCTGGTATTAAAAGACGAGGAAGGGTTTTAACAAAAAAAAATAAAAATAAAAAATAAATCAATACAGTATAATTAAAGAAAATGGTGTTGCCAAATACTTTACACAGCAGAGGCAACAAAATAAAACGCTGTAAATTATTACACAATGGTTTACTATTTCCAAGCAATTATGCATCGAATGTAACATTACTTTATGCCTTGTCACACAGGAAAATAAGCTAAAGGTGATTTCTAATATTGGCCTAAATATTTTTTTTTTCATCATTAGTACTTTGCTACGAAAAATAGACAATTCCGATTTCTTCAGCTGACGTGAAACTCCAAAAAATAAATCAAATGATACACGCTTTGGAGTGAAACATTTGGAATATATTTAGAAAACCATATTTTTACATTAAATTGTCCGATTACAACGATTTTTCTTATTCCTTAGGAAATTTCGTCAACTTTTAAATAACCATATACGCAAACAAAAAGGTGTATACTTTTTGTGTTCTATAATCTAATTTTACCACCCTTCGTAATTTCCATCTTTTTTTTTTTCATTCAGCTTTGAAGTACGATATATTCATATTTTGAAGTACGATATATTCATAAATTAATTTTTTTTATTTTATTCGATATTCGAATTCTACGCTTCATGAATCATAAACATCAAATTTCGAGAGGGTTAACATTTTGAATTTTTTGGTCGATTACAATGGTTGATTATTGAAAATATTAAACCAAAATAAATAATTAGCTAATATGAATATTGAAAACTGAGAAAAGTGTAAATTAAGAAAAAAAAATATTTGTTTGATATTATGATCTATTTTTAAATTATTCAAGTAAATAAATTAATCTGAAGGAGGGCAGTACAAAGGTTGGAATATCAAAATTGAATAATAATAACTGTTCATGTTTCGCCTTGCTGTTCACTTCTTGATAGTGCCCCCTTAGATTTTTATTGGTTTCCTGTATGAAGAGTATAGGTGTGTCGTCCTTTCATATCAATATCTTTATAGCCAACCTGCGATCATTTAACTTATGACTGATAAATATAACGATAATTACAGGAAAATCGTTAGTATATAAGAGCTGATGGAAATTGACAGGAGCTATAATCATGTTTCTGATAGTTTTCTCGATTATGTCGTGTTTTTTAGTTTGTCCGATCGCAGGAAGACCTCAAGATGTTTTCAACGGGATGGTCGACCAAGTAAATCAGTTCCTTGCGGAAAACCATTTAGACAGTTTAAGCTTCAGATTGAACAGCCGCTTCAGTTGGTTCATTTTCAGTTTCGATATAGATAGAGTATTCGTAGGAAATTTTTCTACTATGGCCCTCCTCAACGAGGTGGTAATCAACCGACTCGACGAAAAGAACTCTACGTACCAGTTCGAACTTCAAGTGGGATGGCCACTGCTGAAGGCAGGATTGGACTACAAAACAGGTGTTATCCCCTTTGCTACCTCTGGAACTGTCATACTATACAATACAGGCAACACCCTGCTGATTCTTGGAGAGATCGTCGGAAAGAATGATATTTGTGAAGTTATACTACGTAACGTGGTACTGAAAGATTTGGGTGAACTGCAATTCACCATTGAGCCAAGCAGTCCCTTTAATTGGTTAATCGATCAAGTGGCGAATAGTGGGCTGAGTATTTTCAACAGTTTTATCATGAACTATATTAGAAATCTAATTCAGAATATAATAAATCTTTATATATTAGATTATAAACTACCAGAAATAGGAATACCATGCAGTTATTTTCAATTACCTTAGCATTGTAGTAATGATTATTATTATAAACTATAATTTTACGGTGCAGTTATATTTTATTTTGTCATGGAATCAAATACATTTTTGCATTTATTATTTGTTCTATCAGAAAAAAACACCTATTCCACATTTCATTATTTTTCATCAATATAACTATTAATATTTTTATAAAAAAACTATTGTAATCATCATTCCTAAATTACTTAACAAGTAATTTCATCATTTATTTTAGTTTTATGACTATTGTTGTTTTTTCTTTAATTCTTTGAAAATTGCTAGTAGAACTGGAACGTTACAACATGGAGATAGTGAAGTTTTCTTGTTAAAACGATTTTTTAATAATGAAATAAAGATTATGGGGTTAACGAGGGCTTATTTGTTTAACCATTAATCGTTATATTGATTAAATATAATTAATAAATTGAGATAAAATAATGAATAACCAAAACAAGGTTGTTTATCATAATTATTTTAGTCATTAGTTTATCATAATCATTTTCATGACAACCCATCATACGATTTGTCTATCGATTCAGTTTCTGCTGGACCTCCACATGAGAGGAGTGATCGATCCCATGGAGTCGAGACCCGAGACATTATTTTTAGAACCAAAAAATCTTCGAATTTACCCATTTTGAAAAAAAAAAATCAAATTTTGGCCAGTTTCTTACCTAGATCATATTTACTATGATTTAAGGAGCTAGTAAACATAGTAGCACTTTGTAAAGTTTTATAAGTTTTATATGCACCTCTTTTCATGCACATATTGAGTATGTGCATGGTCGCATCCGATCAACTTTATTATAATTATGTATATATATATATATACATAATTATAATAAAGTTGATCGGATGCGACCATGCACATACTCAATATGTGCATGAAAAGAGGTGCATATAAAATATATATATATATATATTATATATATATATATATATATATACACAAATATGATTCAAATATCTCACTAAAAAATAACAATACACAATTTTTAAAGTTTGACACAATTTGATTATATTCAGCAGAGGCTGTAGTTATTGCGAAGGAAACCTTTAAGGGGACTACAATATTTGGAGAATTTTGATTTGCAGCTATTCTGGTTATTTCTGAAAGATTTTTTTTTTTCTAAATGATAACAAAAATGTTCAACAAATTAATTACCAATCAACTTCATTCTCTTATTAACTTTATCAATTATAATTAAAATATAATGCAGCATACGAACTGAGAAGTAATTATAAATTTAAAAAAATTCTTCAAATATAACCTTAGCGACATTTACTATTCACCTAGTTTAACGATCATATGTTTATGATGTCATATGAAAATAAGGAAAAAAATAATAATAAGAATTTTGCTAACTTGTTAATAAGTATTGCGTATTAATGTATCAAAATGCATTTAGTAGTTTTTATCCACTTAATGTGTATCAGAATAATTCCTAGGAAAATTCTACGAAAGTTCTAAATGCAGCCTTGGAGTTTCTAATGCATGATGGGTTTGTTTCTGAATTTCTGCGTAGAATCTATACTGTAAGCCATAGTCTTAACTTCAAATTTTATTTAATTTACTACTTATAGGTTATGTATTCTTATCTTTGATAGATAAATGTTTCTTTAGAAAAAGGGTGTACCTGAAAGCGTCTTCAGGAGATGGGTAAGGTTATAGAAAATTATAGAGTATTAGGAAATGTATTAATTTAGTTTACAATCGGTTACACTATTGATGTGTTCATATTAAAGTTAAAAAAATTTGCACATATCGTTGGTTTATTGAAAAAGGTCATTTCATAACCTCAAATAATTAAAAACTTTTTCCTTCGTAAAATCAGAACTTAATTTAACTATATATGATAAATAAAAGGGTGTGTGCCATTTTCATGCAATTAATGTGTTTTTATAAACAAATAAGGTCAAAATTCAATAACATATTTGAAAGTTAACCTATATCAAAAATGCACTTAGTGATTTCTTGAAATACTATTCATTGAAGAATGATATCATGGTAATGGTATAATGAAAAACATGTAAAACAAAGAATTTTAAGGATGAAGTTTGAGAAAAGTCTCGATATATGAGATCATTACTCATTTTAAATGCATGAGTTTATAAAATAGTATACTTAATAAAGCTATATTTTTTATCTATTGAAAGGATTATATTCAAATCTTAGAAGAAGATGTAATTTACTATAAAATTTGGAAATGCATTTTTTTCTGTTTTTTTTTTTTAGATTTCTTCAATTTTTGTATGATTTTATTTTGGTTTATACTTAAAAAAAAAATTTCATGGAAACATAGCGAAAATTTCTCATTCCTTCACGTAACTCATTTATTTTTCAATTCTAGCTAGGTTTTAGTGAACAGGTCAAGAAGTAATTTTAGTGAAAAAATAAGCAACATTTTGTTCACTGGCATTAAAACCTTTTGAGTTTTGAGAAAGAATCTGGTTATTTCTTTTACTAGGTATTTGATTTGTGAGTTCTACTAAAAAATATTCATTGAAATAAAATTTAAAATAAATCACAGCAAACTTATATCTATCAGGTAATAATCTAACCATCCCCAAAATTCTATGAAAATAAGGCCTGGTAAGATTACACCTCCATGTTGCCAGGTCCTTGGAATATCTTATATTACTCTTAATTCATAATTATTGAAGGCAAATAACTGTTATGAGAAGTCCAATTTGGTAACCCATTTAGTTGGATCCCAGCCTAATCATTCTTATATAAAAGAAAATCCCGTGACAATTTTCTTTTCTAATTTATAGAATAAAGGATGATGGGATCCCAAAGAACATTCTGAAAGAAAAGCTAGAGGAGGACACTGCCGGTCCCCAAGATTGCGGGGACCCGCTGAGGTAGCAGGTGATGCGTGGAGGTCCATCTAGGCAGTGATGGACTGTAAGGACTGTGCACAGGTAGGACTTAGTCTGTGGGCCAGACCCCCCTTCCTGCCCACATCCCTATAAATTGCATATCGTTGTGTCCCTTGTAACTATTTATTAAAAAAAAAAAACAATGTTTCCAAAAAAAAGTGAGCTAACTGCTCCAAAATGGCGCCCAAACATGGCCGACTGACGACTTTGACTTTAGTTAGTTTTTTGGTCACTGAGAATGAGCATTTGGCTTAATTTCGCCATAGTTGGTCTTTTAAGCTGCATAGTCAGAGAATAATAAAACATGAAAAATTATTAAAAATAATTGGCTTAGGCAATAAAAATCACCAGTTGAAAATCAAGCGTCGTTTGTAATTAAACAGCCAACAATAACGCAAAACGTGCTGAAATTAAACATCTGAAGAATATATTATTCTTTTTAAAACACCAATTAGGTTTTAAAATATTTTAAAATAAAGCAGTTTATAAAAGACTGCCTACTAATGATTTAAAATTTTTTTTTAAAACTCTAACGAGTTATTATGAAACATAATTTTCATTTTGTTATGCTAATTTACATGCTCCCTTACACATATAAACATACTAAAAAAATTCTATGAAGGTGTACCCGCAACCCTTTGATTAGGAGATATTCACACCTACAGATTTTCGTTGTTATGAATTATTTACGTTATATTAAGTAAATAAAACTTATTTATTTGTTCCAACTATTTTATTAAATAAGCGTAAACATTAAATTCATATTAAATGTTGTTCAAAGCGATTTCTTTGAGCATTAAGACAGGCTCGGCATCTTTCTTCAACAGCAGCAATGGCAGAATGGCACTGGATATGCTACTGCCACAAGCAATCCACATTGCTTGTGTTTTGTTGTCAAGGATTTTTACACAAGATTACTCTGCGAAAACCTCATACAAACTGATAAATGTTATTGAGAGTTCCCAATGCTAATTCTAAATAGTATTAATCCTTATGTTGCCAATAGATTTTATATAGTTAGGGATAAAAGGGCACATTAGTATTCTATCTGATCCATCTCCTAAACAAAGCGTTTGTGGGCATACCTTCACTTTGAACCACGGGCGGATCTACGGGGGGAGAGGGCTTTCGGGCTGAAGCCCCCCCAAAATGGAAAAATATAACCATGTTTTATCGAACAAAATATTAAAAAAGTAACTCTTAAAGTATTATTGTTCGTGTGATTAATATTAAAAGGGCTTTAGGAATCACTTAAACACCATTTCATACAGGTAGTTAGTTTCTTTCTTTTTTTCCAAAGTAATTATCGTATTTTTTATGAAAAAAAAGCTTTCGGGCTGAAGCCCCCCCCAAAATTAAATCCTGGATCCGCTAGTGCTTTGAACAACCTCTAATATTAATGTTAATATTTACATTTAACTAATAAAGTAGTTAAAACAAATAAATAGGTTTTATTTATTTTATATAACGTAAGTGATTCATTACAACGAAACTCTTAAGGTGTGAATATCTCCTAAGCAAAGCGTTAGTGGACATACCTTCAGAGGTAATTTTATTCTTGTTTTGAGGTCCTTAGTTCATTTTTGCAGTTCGGCCACTAAATCCTGAAACATCCTGTATAGATATGTGTAAGTGAATATAAAAAAGAGAAACATTTTCAATAGTTTTCTCAAACAGTGTTCACGGTTTGATAAAACTCACGATGATAACCTTTTGTAACTTCAGCCACGTTAATGGATTCAAATAATTAAAAACATGTAGAACAGTGTTATATGAGTGGCGTACCTAGACCAATTTGTGTGAGCGTTGAATTAAAAAAAAGTATCATAAATTCAAAAAACACAGTTTCATCATATTTATGTATTTCTATCATTCAGTTATTTGTTTCTAATGTTTAGTGAAATAATTAGACAACTGAATTTAAAAATAATATTCGGCATCCCCAAAACAAAACAAATAAAAAAACTATATTATATATATATATATATTCTAACGTGTTCAATGTTTTTACTAGTTATTAAATTTGCCATTATGTTTTAAATACATCATCAAAGATAGAGAGGAGTGGTTACTCATTTTTTTTTTCGTCTTACTTTTGAAATATTTCTTTTATCTTATTAGAATATCATCATAGATATTGAAGTGATAAATACTGTGAGTCAAATAATATTTTTATGTTTTTTTTGTTTTTTTATGTTTTCAGTGACAAGATTAAATGTTTGTTATCATTTGTATTCAAGGAATTGAACTGGCATCAGCTCAACTATCGGCGAGATATTACATTAGCTAATTATAGATGGTTGTCTGAATCAATAGAATCAAAGATCATGCTTTTGGTCGTTGTTGACAATTTCCCTTGTTGAACAAAGAAATGGCTTCCCTCTGGAACGCAGTGATGTTCATTGCTTCACATTTTTCCGCATTTGTAAGTAATAAAAATATAGTTGTCTATTTTATATACTGCGTCCAATTTGTGTTGACTATTTTTTATTTATTTGATATCTGGTATTTTGTGTACTTTTTTTTTTTGTGACTGCTTCAGGTAGAGGATTATGTAAACTGGTAATTTTCAAGAGACGTAATTTATACCGTAATAAACTGTAATTTTAAAGCTGAATGTTTCTCGCTTTTATTATATTATTAAAACGTTTAATCCTAAAACGTATATATATAATTAAACGGAATGAAAATTAGGTATTTAAGACTGGTAGTACGCCTAGGATGTTTGTTACTCTAACTTTTTTTCTAAAATCCACAAATCATACGTCGTAATTTATTTTTTTAATTTTACAGTTTTTATTTGTTTTTTAAAATTTCTTGGAAAAACTCTAATGATTTTGATTAAACTCCTTATATAAGTATATACTTGAATAGAGTTTAATGTCAGTCTTTCAGGACTTCCAAATTTTTAAAATGGCTTCCTCTTTCAAATACTTTAATTTTATTTGTTTAAAGTGACTGACAGTTTCTTAAATGTCCTTTGTGGTAGAAAAATAGATAAATATAAAATATAAATCAAATTGATAATTAACTAAAGTAGAAATATATTTCGTGTATATTAGGTTGAAAAGAGACATTTCAAAACCTTAAATCACTAAAAACTTTGGTGAAATTTCCCTTCGTAAAATCAGAACATTGTGTATTTGTTGTTATTATATTTATTTCATTTTAGTGCACTGAAAATTATTGTTATTTAAATTATAAAATAAATAAGCAGTAAACACTTAAATTATTGCTGGGCCCACAGCTCTATAACATTTATTCCATAAGCCTTTTCTTTTAGAGAATTAATTTTCAAGCAGCAGTCATTTATAGTCATATCCAGAGGTGCCCAGAAGGAGATTTCATGGTGCAAGGTCCCTAAAAAATTTTGAGGGGGCATATTTTGACGGGTTTTTGAATTTTTGAAGGGTGCAAATTTCAATGGTGTTATGAATTTCTGACTAAGGTGGAAGGGGAAAACATGGAACTAATTCTACCTTAGCTCTGTTTTTTAAAAAAAGTGAGCAATAAAATATCTTGGGGAGGGGGGGAGGGGATGGGCCCATCATTGTTGGTTTATTGTAGTTAGTTTAAAAAATCATTAAATTTATATTGTCATTCGGTCCAATATTTAAATTCTTAAGGAATAGGTTTTCGTTTGAGTGAAAAAACAAAAAAAGTAATCTTGTTTTATTGGCTGTCAAAAGTTATCCCTATTTTCATTTTATTTTATTTTATTCCATACCTGCCTTTGAGGCAATACGGGAGTTTGCACTAGTGACTTTATACACATTTCCGCATAACAAATCACTGCTACAAGTTTATCTTTTCACATTGTTATATATTGCAGTGCCATTGCCAGGGGTGCTCATCCTCCCAAAATCGATAGCCCAAGAACCTACCCTTCTCCCGTCTCCCTAGATATTTTATTGCTTACTTTTTCTTAAAAAGAGAACAAGCTATGGTAGAGTTAGAAAAATCGTAGGTCATATACAATTACACTTGCTACAGTCTGTTCCATGGTTTCCCTTTGTCTTTTAGTCCGAAAATTCATAACCCCGTTGAAATTTTACTCTGTCGAAAATTCAAAACCCCTCAAAAATTATGATGGCGCACATGAGCCATGAAACTCTCTCTGGTCACCCCTGAAGCACACAGTTCTCCCTTGCTTTTTTGTTTTTTACATGATGGAATCCATTTGTCAAAGTTGCTACATGATGGTCCGGGGTTGCGGTCATAAAAAGGCTAAATAGTGGTAAAACTATTTTATTAAAAACCAACGTTTCGACCCGACTTTGCAGGTCTTCATCAGGGCTAGAACGGACAAGATACAAAAAGATAGAGAATTGTGGCAATTACATAATATTTAGACATAATTTATAAACAATTTGAATAAGCTTATTAGAATTATAAACAGTATGTATAATAAAATATGGACTAAGTAAGCTGAGTAACAAGATCCTAAACTAAAGTAAATAGATGCTAACAATTGTTGTAGTGTATATTTCATAGATATAGTATTTTTCCATTGTATTCATCCATATCTTCAAAAATTCCTAGGTACTGTACATTCCTGGGTTTTTCAATGTTTACTTAGTTAACACATGTTAACTTCCCCTATACCTGCAATCCTTACCGTTGCCTTTCCAGTTCTAAGTGAAACTCCTAGAGGAACACACCCGTAAGTCTCTAATTTTATTTTTTTTTCTCCTGTAGGTTTTTGTAGAATTATACTCACATTTTCATTTGTTATATATTACACTACAACAATTGTTAGCATCTATTTACTTTAGTTTAGGATCTTGTTACTCAGCTTACTTAGGCCATATTTTATTATACTTACTGTTTATAATTCTAATAAGCTTATTCACATTGTTTATAAATTATGTCTAAATATTATGTAATTGCCACAATTCTCTATCTTTTTGTATCTTGTCCGTTCTAGCCCTGATGAAGACCTGCAAAGTCGGGTCGAAACGTTGGCTTTTAATAAAATAGTTTTACCACTATTTAGCCTTTTTATGACCGCAACCCCGGACCATCTCCTTCCTTTATAATGCAACGGTCAACTGTTAAATATTCAATAAAAAAAGGAAAGTTTTTCTTTCATTTTTGCAACATAATTCTCTTTTTGATACTCAACTTACTGGCCAAATATGCTTTAAATCAGCCTCCATTATTCAATTCAGCAGCTGAGGAATGACAAACAAGGTTCATTTTACTCATAATAACATGCCTATAGTAGTTGCTCTCGGCAGTCCTTGATGAAAACGTCACCGTTACGATAAGATAACCTTTGGAAAATCCCTGTGATTGGTTAGTGACCTATCGGAGGTGTCAAGGTAGCTATATAGCAATTATAGCACTTAGGTAAGAAACATTAGGAAACAATTCTTGGCTCACCACAATGGTTCTTGCAATTCGGTCAAATGTTCATCTTCCCACTAGCACATTCAGAATTTCATTTTGAAGAGGACTTCTTGTTTTTTTTTTTTGTAATTACTTTGGAAGGAAAAGTGTTAAATTATATAAAATGGTCTTAAAGTAGTCCTTGAAGGTCTGATAAAAACAATAATAATAATAGTAGTAATTATTATTATATCATAATACTTCCAGATTATATCCTAGAAGAAGGTCAGAAAGCTGTGCTCCTGGAGACAACCAGCATAGCCAGGAAATTTTTAAATATTTCATAAACACAGCCTAACCCTTGACTCATTGAGTCGGGGTAGGTGAATATCCCCAGCAATGGTCGAGGAAGTGCGAAATTCTGTTTATAATAATAAAATAATGCTTTTTTGGTTAAATTTTTTATATTTTTTCTAGATATGTATTCACATTTAGTAGCTGCGCAGTTAGTATTCGTTAAATTTTAACAATTGTTGTGATTGTTTAAACATTTAGCTCAGATGACATAAAAGACACAATTATTGGCCAACGAAAATAAAAATAGGTTTTCTATTATGTGGTGCTTCAGGAAAATTTAAATTTGGAAGTTTGATTGCAGTAGCAACAAACTAATATCTTTATCCCGCTGTTTTCAGAACTTTTAATGTAATAATTGTATTAATAATATTAGGTGGACTGGAAAATAATGACCTTCTCTTACATTAAGTTCAAACACATATATTATTAACGAGTGTTTATTTTTAATCAATGATGCAACCACCCTTATTATTAACAAACTTTTACCTTCTAGTGAGCAAATTCGATCAATAAAAACATTTTGAGCTATATATTAACAGATGGAATCTTCAATATCGCTCAAATTTATAAATCTTTTGCCACTTAAAAAATGTTGAAGCAATCGGAATAAATGGAAATCCGATGGCACAACAAGGGCGAAGTGAAAGAGTCGATTGCTCTGAAAGAATCATACTTTCTAGCGATTCATTAAAGAACCACGATTCAAACTCAATCGGTCGATTCAATAGGTACTATTAAAAATAAAAGTACAAAAGAAAAACAACAAAAATATTATACAATAAACAAAGAACTACATTTATACATTAAATAAACCAATCTCAAATAAAAATTAAAAAATAAACAAAATTGAAATTTTGAATTAAATATTTATATAATAATAGGTAAATAAGCAAAAAGGTATAAGATAGAAAAAAAAATACTCATATACAAAATAAAACAAACAGATAAAGATAAACAAAATAGTGATATAAATAACCATGAGTTTTATATATCTGAAGTGTGGAATTTTAAGTAAAATGGTTAATTAAAAATAAAGGTACAAGAGAGAAAAAAACTGTGTTTCATTTAGAATTTATATATACAGACAAAAATCTAATGTGTACAATTAAAAAAAACAACTTCTTCTGTCCAATTTAAACTTTCTTTCTATTTATAAGATCCATGACATTTTATTTGTATATATTATATATATATTAGGACTTTTAATTTTAATAAGTTGAAAAAAATGTTTTTCCTGAATAACCATAAGGTTTGATATTGTTTTTTACTGCTTTGTTCTCCAATAAACAGTTCTTTCTTAAATTAAAGAAAAAGAAGATGCAAAGAATCGTTTATAAGAATCGATTCATTACGATGATTGAATCGTTAAGAATCGATTCAGTTTAAAGAATCGAATTTCTCATTTCTAGTGAATATGTTGGGAGAGGCAGTACCTCCCACCCCAACTTATAAATTTTATCCAGGGTCGTCTTGCGCAGTGTACTCTTTCAGATTCGTGTTGCAGAATAACGCATTTTCGGTTGACACTCGCTGGCCATTTTTGGTTAGAGATTGATTTCCACGATCCAATTGTTCACAAGAAAGTTCTGCATTCACAGTTTGTCCAGGTTTCAGCACTTCAAAATAAACAACTCCGCGGATATTCCACCAAACACACATTTAGGCCTTTTTGGAATGTAAAGCTTATCGTTATAGTTATTTATGTTATGTTATTTCGCTAAATATCTTGCACAAGTA